CAGACGTCCGTGCATATAGCGGAGATCAGCAGACTGGAGGGTGTTGGGCGTCGGTGTACAGATCATTACCCACCGCCTCTCAGCACAGAGCAACCTAGCCAACTGCATCAAATCTGAGGGGGTCTGACCTCCCAGTTTGTGGCCTTCGTCTACAATCACTCGCACCCAGCGAACTGTGAGGAGAGAAGACACTTCTCCTCGTTTCCATCGACGTATCTCTGCGGGCCTTCAAAGCCATAACGTTCAGGCATGCGCTCCTCCAGAGCTGACACTGGTCTATGAAGCCTCCACTCTCGTGCCAGTCTTGTAAACGACGTGATAACAACGTCATAAGTAGCCAGGTCTATGTTGAATGGCAACTTGTACTCGACACCAGGATCGACAAACACCCGAAGGGCTCCCGGTACAACGTGAGCTTCGACTTGGTACGTCCAGTGCTCTACCAATGGGTCGGGAACCACAATCAGCGAAGCTCCAGAGCTCACCAGGTCTTCAGCGTTGACCTTACGGCCTCGAGACCTAGAGTACCGTACGCCTGACCTAATCGTATCTCCTCCTGGGCCATGCGTATCGACCAGTGTATTATCTGTCGTCTGGCCCTTTGTCCGCAGAATTAAGCCAACATGGTAATGGTTTTACCCAGTCCAGGCTCGTCACAGAACATGCTACCACATGCACCTCTCGCCATAACGTTAGGATTAGTGATGACTCTGTTCTCGATCAAGTCCACTGCCACTGCTACTGGATCACCTGACCCGGAAGAGAAAATAAAGGGATGAGGCTGAGGGATGCAAGCCAACGACGGGGTTTCACGACGCAGCATCCACTTAAGTCCTCCCCGCTGGTGTTCGTAAAGAACGAGGTTTAGCCCAGGCACCACTTCGTTAGGCATGTGTTGGAACAACGAGCACACGCCGCTAAGTGATGTTAAGTCACGTGCGTTCATGAGGCAGACGACGTCCTGCAGCACATTTGTAGGGAGGTTGGTCAGGACGATCTGTTTGTTGGGGCGAGCCATCCGTGCCACGTACGTCGCGCCATATCTGGTCTCCATTTGATCCACGTCCATCCGACTAAGTTAATAGTAAAACTAGTCGGATGGACGTAGTTTAAATGGTAAACTGCAGCTTGCCTCTAATAATTAATTCCGGATGTAACGGAAATTTTGAAGTCAAAACTTATTTTTCGTTGAAGATGGAAGGAGAGCTGCGCGAGCTGCGTCTAGAGCTTAAGGTACCGACATGACCTCACACAAGAGACTATAGACCCTAATATTACAGCTATCTGTACTATGACAGGCCGCACGGAGCGACGTGAAGCGATACGCCAGCTACGCATTGCGTCTACAGTAGGAATTGGCTCGAAGAGCAGAAAAGACCATGAAAAAAATATGTTAAATGAAGAAGACGCTCGCTTTGTTGATCGAAGCGAGAAATACACGACAGCAAAGAGGACGTCTAATTGTGATAGAAGATTCGAGAAGAAG